CGTGACTTTTGATTTGACCATTTGTTGTATTGGTGGCGTACAGACCAGTCGTGTTCCTCCAGCGTGGGTGCTCGTGGGTCGTCGGCCGATGGTTTGACATTTTCCGTCTTGATGGTTTATGGTCAAGAGTGGTGTCGCATTGCGGTCGAATGTTTGATTCTTGGTTTGGCCCAGGCAAGAGTGCGCGGCGAAGATTCCTTGTTTTCGTGTCCTATATGGTCGCTCTGTTCAATGTGGTGGCGTCATCAGAAAGAGCGTGTTGCTGCTGGGAGCCATCTGGCTGCAAGTGCGCACCCAGATAGGACGTTCATTTGAGAAGGGCTCGGCAGTAAGAGCCGGCACAGCCGAGTACCGCGCGCTTGAAGACAAGAGGGTGTTTGTCGCAACCAGGATTTGAGGTGGAGGCGTTCAATATGGACCACTCTGAGCTCAGAAGGGGCTCTGTTTTTTCGGACCGGTCCCCAGATTTACAGTGACAGTTCATAGCACAGACGGGTAAGTTTCCCAAGGGCACCCTTGCGTCCTTAAATTTGTTCGGCAGTGCGCCGCTAGAAACGCTTCAGCTTCGGCGTCTAGGGACCGTCAAAGGGCCTTGCGTCCCTACAGCGCGTCCTTACTACAGACTCTGACTGTAAGGTTCTGGCTCGGAGGACCCCTTTGTGCTCGCCGTGCCCAGAAGAGCCCCTCCGCTTCTGCGGTCCTCCCCTTATGGAAGAATGATGGCTGTGTACTAACCAAACGGCACCCGTGCTCATTTTGCTCCAGCCTCGTCGCCCTCCCCTCCTGACTCTTCCTTCGTCCGTACTTGACGAGTGCCCTCAGGCAGGCCTCGGTTGAGTGGCGCCTCCATGGGTGTTGTCCTATGGGGTCTCAGTGTGGCCAGTAGCGTCGCAGCTCGACCGTGGCCGAAGCTAACGAGAGTACCTCGGTAGGCCAAAGGCGTTTTTACCGAATGCTTCTGCCACGCCTGATGCTTGTCCAGCTGTTCGTGTCAAGGTGACGGGAGAAAGCATATCCCGAGCCTTGCGCACCGCTCATCGGGCGCGCTCGCTGCTCGACAGCTGGCCAAGGCGTTCGACAGCGTCCGCTGTGTGGCTTCGCCGCGCAGGTCCCGAGCAGGAACGCCTCGGGGTGCCACGCCACTGTGGCTCTCCCTGCCCGTCTGGGGAGGGAACGATGCCGACACCGCTGCCCGTGCGTTCGATAGCAAATCATGGGAGCCTGGTATGCCCGCTCAATTCCGTCTCTAGCGCCGACTAGCGCCAATTAGCGCCTTGGAGTCGATGAGGTAGCGCCGGTTTAGCGTCGGCTTGCGTCGATTAGCGTCGATTTAGCGTCGACTAGCGTCGATTCGCGTCGATTTAGCGTCGATTGGCGTCGGTTCGCAAGAGCCGACAAGATGGTATGGGAGGCTCTTATGAGTTGCCACCGAACGTACTTCGTCGCTCCGGCTGGATCCGCTCCGACATCCTGGTCAGGATTCGTGTCGCTCGCGGGGGCGCGAACATATTTCTGCAACTCGTGCGTCCGGCTCTGGGCCGGAGAGTTGCGCCTCAAGGAGGCGGCGCGCGGGCGCGAAGACGACCGCGCGTCGCGCACAGGGGGAGGCACGGTGCGCGACACGAGGTGACCCGGAGCACGCACCCCATGGGGCAGGTCAGGGAAGCAGCAGCGGCATCCGCACACGGCTGCCCCTCCCGGCTCGTCCCGCATGCCGGCGCGGCCCCCCCCCCCCCCTATCTGCATCGGGGCGCCGGCGGAAACCTTCGGCCGTTTCCTATCATCTTCGGGCTGCGGGGTGTCGCCGTGTCGGGGTGGGCGCCAGAGGGGCAGGAGGTCCTTGTGCGAACCCCGCTCTCGCGTGTCCGAGCGCCGCGGGCCGCTCTGGCCCGCTCGACCTGGAACTCTTCTGCGTCTGAGTGCCCCCCCCCGCTCTCTCCTCCCCCCTCGCGCGGCCGTTCCCTCCTTCCTTCCCCTCCTCTCGCATGTCAGGCAATTCGCTCTTCGGTGCTCCCGTTTAGCCTCACGCTGGTGCGGATTGCGTCCGCCTCGCCGCCGACGGAAAAAGTGTCCGAGCGCCGCTGTCTTTGTTTTTCAGGGGCAACGCTCATGGGAGATAGGCTCAGGGGGGACGCATCGTCCTCCAATCGCCCACTGATCGCCGACAGGGGCCCGATAGCACACTGCGCCATGGGACGTGCGGATTTGCTCCCCCGGGCCTGTCGCCGATGTCTCGGCGATGCATCTTCGATTCCTGCTCGATATTTACGCCTTGCGCCAGTCCCGCCATTTGACGCTTGGGGAGTCTGAGAAGTCGTGCCTGACCAGGTTTCGCCGCGACTCACTGTCCAACATGGGGGGACACGGGGAGGAGGAGGAGGAGGAGGAGGAGGAGGAGGAGGAGGAGGAGGAGGAGGAGGAGGAGGAGGAGGAGGAGGAGGAGGAGGAGGAGGAGGAGGAGGAGGAGGAGGGAGGAGGAGGAGGAGGAGGAGGAGGGAGGAGGAGGAGGAGGAGGAGGAGGAGGAGGAGAGGGGGCATCGTCAGATAATCTGCGAGGTGGCGCTTCTGGGAGAGCGCAAGCAGTATCAGTGAACACGCCGCCGTGTGGAGCCCATCAGCGCGCTACGGATGGAAGAAGCCTGGTCTTCGGGCAAACGCGAAGGAGAAGCACGTTGACTGGCTGCCCTTGGCTGTTGTTGCGCTGTCCTCCGCCTCCACCTCCTCCTCCTCCTCCTCATCCTCCTCCTCCTCCTCCTCCTCCTCCTCCTATGGCTTTTGCCGGCCACTGGGAACATGAGCTCTGGGGGCTCGGAGCTCGTCCCCGCGAGCGCGACGACCTTCTTCACGCAAAAGTAGAGAGGGAACGACTTGATTCTGAAATCCGCGTGGATTTCTTGGATCGGCGCTCAAACCCCATCCCTGGCGCGCGGTGCACCTCCCACAATAGAGAGGGGGATTCGAGGAACAGACAACTACGCAACCATCATCATTCGGAGGTCCGCGCGGTTCTCGGTCCGCGCGCTCCGCGGGACTTCCTATTGATCCGCACCGACTCTTGAGACGAGGGATGCTACACATTCCAAACGCATCCTGAGCCAACCGCATCATGGCATCATTTCTCGTCCTGTTTTCTTCTGGTGCCATTCGGCTGCTGGACGGACCTACGTTTGAGCCCGTTCCGCGGCCGAGTGGTCTCATTTCTCAATTCCCACCACCCTTTTTTGGGAGTGAGCCAATTCGGCTGCCCACTCGGCTGTCGAATGCGCTCAGAAGCTGAAGTGGCTCAAGGGAAACCCAAGGGTCTGGGAGCGGCCTTGCACATCCGACTGTGCAATCGCAAACCGACTTAGGGAAGACGTAGCTGCTGTAAGCGGCCCTTTTGCTCGTGTGGACGGCGGGGTCCCCGAATTTCCGGTTCCAGGTTCTGGGATAATGGCATGGTACATAATTTTGCAACGCAATTCGGCGTTCGGTCGGGTGTCTGGGATACCAGAAGGCAGGGAGTTTGCTATGAAGAGCATGGGTTGAGAGGTGGAGATGCAGAGTAGAGGATAGAGAGTGGAGAGGTGAAGGGTGGTGGTTGAGGGTCGAAATCGTACTTAGAGGGGTAGAGAGTACAGAGTAGTGGTAGGGATAGAGAGAGAAATGGAGAGTGAGAGTGAAAGCGAGAAAGAGAGAGAGAGAGAGAGAGAAATATCGAGATGGGGGACAAACCAATGGCGAGTAGAGGGTAGAAGTTGCGCCTCGCTCTCCACGAGGGCCTCTCCCACCGCCATCGCGCTGCATTTGCATTCCACGCTCGAACCACTGAGCTGGGCTTTTTTTCTGGTGCGAGATGTTAACCTTGCAGCCTTGGGTTGACTTGCCAGTGCTGTTGCGTCCCGTTGTCTATGTCCGAGATGGTTTCCCGACGCTGCCACAGCTCAATGATGCCCGACCCCATGCCTCGTGTCGGAGGCGCGCCTGTCGGGACCAGCCTTCCCGCCAGCCTTTTCAGAAGCCGTCCCGCCTTCTCAGGAGCCGTCTGTGGCTTCGAAGGACGGTCAGAAGGCCACTCAGATAGCGGGAGGGCTTCTGATAAGCCTCGCCCGTCTTCTGAGAAGGCCGACCTCGTCTGCCTTCCCTCTGGGCGCATCGCTGATCGTAGCTTTCCACCACACTTGTTGCAGACTACCGCCGTTGGGATATTTGTTTCGCAGCGTGGGTGTCCCCGAGGTCGAAGGCGCCCCGAGCCCGAGGACCGCCAGCAACAAGTCCAGCGTGTGTATTTGACGACGCGAGGGGATCTTTCTGTAGCACATCACGGGAGCCTTGTGTTCAGGAGGGGAAAGACAGACACAATGAATCGTCGATTCTCCAGAGAAAAATTGAAAAATATGGGAAGTGGGGGGGGGAAGGCACAATTCCAGAAAGCATGGGAAAATATGGAATGTCTGTTATTTGTGTGTGTATGTATTTCTGTGTTTGTGGGCCCCCTCAATCATGGGAGCCTTGTGCGTCCTCGAGATTCCGATTTTACAGTGCACTAGCGTCTGGTAGCCGATGAGAGAAAGTGCCGATGCAGTGTCGACCAGCGTCGGCCAGCGTCGATTTGGCGTCGCGACTAGCGTCGACAAGCGTCGGCTGTCGTCGGCAAGGAAGGCTTCCATGAGTCGAGGGGGGGAGAGCCGAGGATTGAAGGAGGAGGGAAGTTCGGCTCGGCTCGGCCATCTTTGCAAGTGCACGCAAAGCGAGCACGAGCTAGGGAAGCGCCACTTCCACAATCATAGAAGCGACGTCCCGTGGAGGGAGAAGTCAGGAGGGGCGAGGTGACGGAAGGGAAGAGGGGCGGAGGGGAGAACAGGGATTGCAGTGCGCGTCGCCAGGAAAGCGTCGCAAGATGGCAGGAAGGCTTCCGTGAGTAGCCGCCGAAGGGTCCGGGCTTGATGCCGTCTTCGCCATCGTGGCGGGCGCCCTCTCGAGCGCTGGCCCGGCGGAAACCGCCCCCATCGCGCCCGCAGGCCGGGAAGGGAGCACAAGGTCCCTTGGCCGCGTTCCTCTCGGTGCGCCCCGCCCGCCGGGAGACCGCGCGAGGAGGGGAGCTCGGGGCAGTCCAAGGGGGGGGTCATGACTCGCGGCTGTGTTGCATCCTCCGGCGCGTATCGGTAGTTCCCCGTGCCAGACCTGCTGGCTTCTGCGCGCATGCCTCGGCGATCGCAGCGCTCCCCAGCCTTGACTTGCCTACCCCGATCAAGCGTCACCGTTACACGGGCGCCACCCCCCATGGGTAACGACCGTAACCAGAAATACGAATAATGATCAGAACATTTAAACATCACATGAGGGATGATGATAACAATGTTAACCAGCATCAGTCCCAAACAGTGTGTTTCTAGCATTCCTGGTGCGCAATCGATGTGCAGCAATCGATGTTGTGCAATACACTGTGGTGCAAGCTATTTCGTGCAATATTTATTTGGCAATCTATGTGGTGTTATCTACGAAATTCGAAATATGTGGTGCAGCAAATTTGGTGCACTTCATTTGGTGAGCACCTTCTGCTGTGCAATCGACGTGGCGCAAAATAAGTGATGCAATACATGTTGTGCTATCTATGCAATGCAATATGTGTGGTGCAGTCTCTGTGGTGCAATCTACGCGGTGCAAGCTATCTGGTGCAACCTAGATTGTGCCATTTACGTGGTGCAATCTATGTTGCGCAATTCATTGTGATGCAATCCATGCGGTGCAGACGGCGACGGGGCGGCGACAGCGACAACATAGCTGCCAGACCAGCGGTCAGAGACGACGGGCGGCGACGGGTCGGCGACGGCGACGACACAGCCACTAGACCGGCAATTAGGCCCAGACGACGGGCGTCGACGAGGCAGCGATGGGGCGGCGACGGCGACGACACAGCCGCCAAACAAAGCAATCGGGCCCAGTTCTTCGGAGCAAGAGAGAGCTCCGGAGGGCAAGCACCGTGTTGGGGAACAGGGGCCCTGGATCTCCTGGGCCCCCTCTCCTCCTTTGCCTCGGCTCCCTGGCCCCCCCCCCCCCCGTCCGCGCACACACCTCCGGCTATGACGTCCGAGCCCCCCTCTCGGACCATCCCATCCTGGACGCCTTCGCCGCGAGGGAGCACGGGTCACGCACAGCCAGGGGCAACACCCGGGGGCGGGGAGGGGCTCGGGGGAGGCTCGAGGCTCGAGGCTCGAGGCCCTCGGACGTTCTCCGTGGGTTCTCTGCAGGCTTTCCCGAGCACCGGGGCCAGTCGATGTCAATGGTGGATGTGCTCCCGGAGGAGCGCGTCGACACCTGGCCGCCCACCGATCGCAGGTATGGGGCGCCCGAGAGCCCGCCGCGTCCGGGAGTGTGCGGGCTTGGTATGTCGGGGGCACATCGCCGATGCATCGGCCATGCATCGCCGAGTCGGGTCCATATTTTCCCTCCCTGAGCCCACACCCCCTCGCGGCGTGAGGACATCGCGACGCACAGTCTGCTGCCATGTTCGGCCTCGGGAGGTCCTCGCTGGGCGCCTGGACCGTCCGCAACCGACCGCGACTGGCCCTGCTGGGGAGTAGGACGAGACTTCCAGGGGTCCACGTTGTGAAAAAAGAAGACCTCGGCGTTCCGAAATATGAGCCCTCTCACGTACATTGAAGACGCTGGACTAAGGATCCGTTCCGCTTCGGAATAGGCTCGCTGTTTCTTAGGTGCGGCCATGGCTGTTATTCTAGCACTCCTCGCGCAACAATGCGATCCTGGGGCAAGAATTAGACTTTGATTCCTTGCGTCTCGTTCCTTATGGTAATAGTTTGACTGTGCAGCCCCATGTGGCCGTATGCAGTCTCGAGTCTGGGGTGGCTCGAGTGTCTTGCAAGAAACGGGCTCTTCAGATATTACCCGCGCACCTTCAGATGGACGGAAGCACGCTTCCTACGGCTCTATTGTGTCCTCCAATGTTGCTTTCAGGGGTGTGTGTTGATGATCGGGCTGCATTCGAGAAACCTTCTGAATGCAACACGATGAAGACAAGCTTTCTTGCCTAGATCCCAGAAGTTCGATGTTGCACGGTGCAAAACAGTTGGACAGTGGGCGAATTGTGGATAGTCCTCTCATGCGCTCTTCACATGTCACTGCCCTGCAACTATGATCTTGATGAGTTTGGTCTTTTGGGACTGATGTTTTCCCTTGCACGACTGCCCGCACTCATTACCAGACATTCGCGTACCAGCACACATAGGGGGGTAGCATGATCATTTGCCTTGAAGGTGTTGGTTTTGTTATTGTGAGTCCCATCCGTCATCCATTTTATTTGTGCATCCGCATACCAATACCCTGTCAGACGCCCATGGGCAAGATCGCCGTGGTCTCACTCGTGGGCGCGGGCGCTGTGGGCTGCTACCGAGGCCGCTCTCTGCCGCACCCGCCATTCTACACCAATTGTCACGGTGGTCAGTCATCGTGGCTCCCTTATCTTCCCATCTACTGCTGCAGGTTTCGTAGGCATGTAAATGATTCGTGATTTGGCTAAGCTCTGTACGACAGGACGGGCTCCTTTCCTGGAGTAGCACCTTGCTGACGCACGAGTGCTTGCTTTCCCATCCAGGGTGGCCAGCGCGCTGCCACTTGGCAGCAGCGGGTAGAGATTCGGCATGTTACTCGGCCACTTTTGTAGGGCTATCGAAAACGAGGCCGGAGATGAAGCGCAGCTATGCAACGCAATCGTTAAGAGGCAGCTTTTCTTATAGATTTCGGCGATTTTATTTGCTTGGAGGGTGAGGGGGTTCGGGGGCAAGGCCCAGAAGGAAGTTTTGCTTCACGCAGGTTGAGTCTCTGTTCACGTCTTCTTCGGCCACGCGTTGTTTCCAAAGGCGGCGGAGGAGTCGGAGGGGGAGATGCGACACCAACACGACCAGGGGGGCCACCTCCAGCGAAAAGGTCCACGATGTCCCCGAGCTGTAGGTTGGGGCTGTCTCGAGCGAGAAGGGGGGACCACACCACCATGGACACCCCTCTTGTTCCTCGCATGTTGGTGTCGCCATTCCTTATTCCTACAGGAGGAGGGGTGGGCGGGAAATGCCATGCAAGCGAAATTGTTCGAGTCTGAAGAAAACCAGCCTCAGACCAGGCTGTCTACCTCTAGCGGGCAGGATGTACGCCACGCCATTTGCGCAGAGTGCAGCGTCAGGTCCGCGAGCGAGTGCCACTCCTTCCGCTGCCTTCCTCCGTGGACCGGGCCAGCAGCGCAGACAGCCGCTCTCGGACCGATCACCGCTGCAGCCAGGCAGCCGCGCGAAGCAGCCGTGCTCAGCCCGGGTTCGCGGCATCGTGGACCACCACCCACCAGGCCACCCCTAACCCAAACCCGAAGGCTTCAAATGGGCCTCCACTTCCAGTGGGGCGGGGTCGGGGATAATCGAGAAAACACATATGGAACCAGTACCCCCCCCCCAACCCGAAGTTCGGGTCTTCGGGTTGGGTTGCGGTGGTCTGGTAGGTCGTCAGGGAATGTTCCCAATTGAGTTAGGGGTGCTCCAGGGAAGGCGTCGCCCTCGATGGTTGCAGCAGTTGACGCTCTCTTCCCCGCCAGAAGGCCGGTGGCAGCGAGCGGGAGCAGATCGAGGGAGGCTCCGCCGGCGGAGGCTGGGGGAAGGAAAAGCCACGCTCCCAGGAGATGACATCTGTAGTTTGGGATCCCCCAGAATCAAATTTTAATATGTGTATATATAAATATATACATATACACAAAAAGATCTGTTTTAGGGGATCCAGGTTTCTGGAACCGGCCACGTGGTTTCTCTCTCTCTCTCTCTCTCTCTCTCTCTCCCTCTGTATGTCGCTGTCCCTCCTCGCCCCTGCCACCAGCACCCGACACAGGCTGCAACGCAGGATGCACCGACTCGTCCAGTGCACCTCGCTGTTCCCCAGCCGTGTGTCGATGCAGCGCCGGGCCAAGGCCAGGGGCACACACCAACCCCCCCTCGCCCCCGACCGCTCCATAAATATGCGCGAAGATGCCGCTGGCAGTGTCGATATCAGGAAACCACTGATGTGATGGTCTCTTCTCGGGCCGCGGTCCACCAACATATGTTCACCTGTCCTCCTTGCACTGCTTCCTGCAACTCCCCCCGGCACCGCTATAATCTTCTAGACGTCAACCACGTGATAACACATCAAGGCACGGGTGCTTTCGGATCTCTCCTGGGGGGCCCGTTGTCCCGAGCTGTTCCGTCAACGGTCTCGTGGCCCTGGACGCCAGAATCGGCGAACAAGCTGCTGCCTTGAAGTTTCAACTCCGAGGCCGTAGGGGGTCTGGGCCCCCCCCCAAGCCCCCGACGGCCTCTCCAGGGGCGGGCTCTGGCTGGAATCGCGAGGGGAACTCAGCCGTGGCGACGAGGAGGTTGCCCGAGACGCTGAGTCGGCAGGACGCATCCAGAAATGTCTTGCTTGCATGGTCATCATCATCGTCGTCATCATCATCATTATCATCATGATCATCATAATCACCATCACTATCATCAGCAGCATCATCATCATCTTTACCGCCATCATCCTCATCATCATGCTCACCATCATCATAACAATCATCATCATCATCATCATCATCATCATCATCATCATCATCATCATCATCATCATCATCGTCATCATCATCATCAGCACCATCAGCACCATCATCATTGTAAACATCACCATCATCAACATCAGCATCGTCATCTTCAACATCAGCATCATCATAACAAAGATAATTATCAGGATCATCGTCATCACCATCATCAGCATCAACATCAGCATTATCACCATTATCGCCATCATCATCAGCATCGTCATCATCATCATTGTCATCATCATCAGCAGCAGCATCGTTATCAGCATCATCATCATCATCATCATCATCATCACCATCATCCCGCCCCCTCCTCCCCCCCTTCTCCTGGCCCTCCTCCTTCTCCTCCTCCTCCTTCTCCTCCTCCTCCTCATCCTCTCCCTCCCCCCTCTTCCTCCTCCTCCAGTCCCGTTCCTTATAAGTATCATCTCCCTGTCGCACCCCGGGGCTAGTTTTTAGGGCGGGCTGGGCGTTATGACTCTGAAGCTTGAAATTTGGCAACAGTTTCACAGATGGAGGGCGGATGGTTTTCGAACTGTGGCTCTCGCCTTGGCGCCGCGCACATTTGCCCTGACATATTGAAAAGTTTTACGGGTTGAGGATAACCCGTATTCAAACTGTTGTTCTCGCATTAGCGCCGCGCACACTTGCCCTAACACATTGCAGAAGTTGTGCGGGTTGAGGATGGCCTTTTTTCAAAAGTTTGTTCTCGCCTTAGCGCCGCGCACACTTTCTTAATCATTGGCAAGAGTTTCACGGGTTGAAGATAACCCGTTTTCAAAATGTGGTTCTCGCCTTATCGCCGCGCACATTCGTTGTAAAAGTTTACCAGACGTTTACGGTTTGAGGGCGGTTCTTTTTTCAATGTGGTTCTCGCCTTCGCAGCGCCGCGCACGTTCGCTCATACAATTTGCAAGAGTTTTCACGGATTCTCACGTTCAACGTACCAGAAATTGCGGTTTGGACGGATTTCCGATTTCGCGGGTGGAACAATTACGTTGATTCGCGGTGTTGAAATCCCAAGGATGGTTATCTGGCATGATCCAGGATCGTCAAGACGCAACAGTCGGTTTGATCATTGGCGTTGGAATCCCGAGAACAATGTTTTGGCATGCTTCCAGGTCTTCAAACTGATGTCTTCCAACAAGGCAGATCCTTCAATGGGAATGAACCGTTGTAGGGGCCTATGAAGAGGGAGCTTGGAGGGAGGGTGTATTCCAACATCGGTGATGGCTCGTGGGTTTACACTGGTCCTCGTCCTCCTCCTCTTCCTCGTCCTCCTCCTCCTTCTCCTCCTCCTCCTCCTCCTCCTCCTCCTCCAAGCCATCCTCGATCCTCGACGGTGCGGGCTCTGCCCGCGGGCGGAGCCCCACCAGTTCGAAGGCCGCCCGCAAGCAGCAGTATGCGGGTCCCCCGCAGGCCTCGGGGCCAGTTTCGGTGTGAGGTGGGCAGCTCCCGTGGCACTCTCCGCACACTGCTCCACTGCCCCTCGCTGGAGAGAGCACGCGCCAGCCTACGAGGCAGAGCCGAGGCAGCCCAGAAATCCAAGGGAGGTCGGCCGCGAGGACGCGAAGCCTCCGAGAGGCCAACAAATAGAGGGGGGGAAACTACCAGAGGCCTCGCCCCTGCTGGGTCGGTCGCGCACTGTAGTTTGGTGTAGCCCTTCCTGAGACGGGGCGCAAACTCGAGTATAGGCTGGGAGGGACAAGAGCAGCACTGACGGGACACGGCATCCGTAGCCAGCTCTCCCCACAGCCCCCTCGAACCTCCGCCCTCCCTTCCCACAGACAGGGCACGCCACGCGCGAAGCCCAGCGGCGAACAAACTCCCTCTCCCGGAGAGGGTCGCAGGAGGGCTGGGTGAGACAACGGGGGCTCTCCCGTCGGGCCCTTCGCCGCTCAAAATCTGTCCCTGGACCTGTTCTCCTGACGCGACGCGGATCCAGCCGTCGCGGCGAGGGGCTTCGGGGAGGCCCAGAGTGGGCACAAGACGCCAGGGAGGGCCGCCGTTGTCTCTCGGCTGTCCCCGTTTCCTGGGCTTCTTTTCGCAAGAGGCAGAGGTCGAGCACGCTCAGCCCAGGGCGTGTGTGGGAGGAAGACGGCTCGCAGGCGATTTATCACCCCCAGCCCGGGTTTTTGTCCACAAGAAGTCAAGTCGCTCAGAAAGTCAGGGCATGTCTAAGATACACCCCAGGTTGGCCATTTGGACGCACGCCTATCGAGAATAGATGCCCCCCCTTCGCACATCCACGAGTTGGGCCCAAAATGCTCGGTCCGGTCGAAACCCCGATGGAGTCGGGAGAGGGATCGACGGTCAATGGCGGCCTGTCCCCGCGCCCTGTCGAGCTCGCCCCTCAGGTGGATGGGCGCGCCCACGGCGCGCCGCAGCGGGCGGGCCGCGATGTTCCCTCCCCCCCCCGCTGGCTCGCAGTTGCATGCTACAGTGCGACCTACCCTACGAGGCAGGGCAAGGTCCCGTAGAAGCACGAAGCCCGGTCCGATACAGGACGCGGAGTGAACCGATTACACGAATCTGCTGCTGCTGATCCCTCCATGGTTGGGCATCGAAGGAAAAGGGGGGGGGAGCAAGGCAGGGGGGCGGGAGGGAGGGAGGGAGGACTGGGGGGGGGGGGAGTCGAACTGCCAGTCTGCCCCATGTCGTGCGAGGCCTGCCTCGGCCGCGCCTCGGCGGGGCAGGAATGTCACCACCCACCACACCACCCCAACCCAACCCGGAGGCTTCAATCTGCCCTCCCCTTCCAGTGGGGGGGGGGATCGGGGAACCAGCCCCCCCCCCAAGCCGAAATTCGGGTCTTCGGGTCAGGCTGGGGTGGTCTGGCAGGTGGTCGAAGGGGAGGAGGAGGAGGAGGACGAGGAGGAGGAGGAGGAGGAGAGAGGAGGAGGAGGAGGAGGAGGAGGAGGAGGAGGAGGAGGAGAGGAGGAGGAGGAGGAGGAAGGAGGAGGAGGAGGAGAGGAGGAGGAGGAGGAGGAGGAGGAGGAGGAGGAGGAGGACCCCCGCGGCCGCACACGGCCCCGGCACGCCGCACCCGCCGCCCCCTCGGTGTGCGGGCGGCGCGTGCCGCACCCCTGCAGGGCGCGCGCCGCAGGCCCGATGGGGGCCCATTGCCAGGCCGCCGCCCTGCAGGGGGCCCTCCCGCCCTCCTCCCCCTCCTCCTCATCCTCCTCCTTCCTCCGCCTCCGCCTCCTCCTCCTCCTCCTCCTCCTCCTCCTCCTCCTCCTCCTCGCTCCACCTCCTCGCTCCTCCTCCTCGCTCCGCCTCCGCCTCCTCCTGCGCCTCCGCCTCCGCCTCCTGCGCGGGCGGCGATCTCCGCGAGGGGCCCGGGGGCCCCATGCTGAGGGGCCCCAGCTCGGAGAGGAGCCAGAATCACCGAGCGCGTTTTGCTACTCGCAGAGTGCCCACTCGCAAACGTCAGGACAGCAACAGATCGTCCTATACTCGGAGGTGGATAGACCTCCTACCCTGCCACGCCGATTAGCGAATTGGCCGTTTTCGGTTCGCGAGAGGGCGTCGCGGCCGTCATTTTTGCGGGTCCAGGTCCGTCGGTTTCGGTCCCAGGCCGTTTTCACTAAGGGGAGGTTTATTACAGGTAGCTTTGCCCACCGCCGATATACGGAATGGATCGTGAATCCCCCGCGGCGGATCCAGGCCGTTTGCGAGTAGTTACCTCGCGAGTCGTGGAACGCGCCTGTCTACAGAAGGGGTCGAAGAAGAAAACACCGCCATAAACCGCCGGGTGGTCCAGCACGGACCCAAGAACTCCGCGCGGAGCGCCAGAAGTATATGCTTATGGCGTTGTTGCTTCCTCTAAAGAGGGGAGACGAACGAGAGCAGCAGTGCAGGATGAGAGGCGCTCTCAATTCGTGACGCCTCGCGAATCCCCACCACCCCATCCAGCAACGGTGCCCATGCGAGCTGTCTGAAGGAGGGGCGTGAGACGAAGACAATATGATATCGTAGAAAATCACGACAAGAGCCCTAAACACCATCTTGCGGCTGTATTTTTCCAGCCGGATCAACTTGCGAGGGTTTCGGGCCCGAGAGAAGTGCGGCGCCAGGATCTCAGGGTCCTCCGATCCTCCTCCGATCCACCTTTCTTTTCAGTATTGTTTAACCGACCCATTCCCATCCCTATCCAGACACCCACCGTCTCAGCACCCGAGTTGGGGAAAAAACACATCGAAACACGATGGAGACGGCCTACAGTCCCATCTAGGGGGGCAACTCGGCCAGTGGGTTCAAGGCCATGCCGATGGGGATCGGTGTCGGACGAACGATGCTCAGATCATCCACCGAATCACCCTCTCCTTCGGTAGGAACACATGGGAGCTTGGTATACATTTTGGATTCCGCCTTCAGCACTGATTAGCGTCGACTCGCAAAAGCCGACAAGCTGGAAATGTGAGGCTCCCGTGAGTTGCCACCGATCGGGCAGTGGCGAAGCCTCCTGGCTCGCCTATAGCCCTACCAAACAATGTTCTCAGAACCTTTTGTGGTTCCCACGAAATGTTCTTAGAACATGTTTTGCCCGGACTCTCTTGTTTGAACACATCGGGTCTACGTTCTAAGAACATTGTTTGTGCTATTGGAACATTTTTGGGTTCTAGGAACATGTCGTGGTAGGACTACATATAGGAATGCCGGGACGGTCGGTCCCTGCTCAAACCGAACTCTCCCCCTCGCTGGAGAGAGCCGCGCGCCGGTGCCAGCGGCGGCGTGACAGAGCCACGGAGGACGACGCCTCCGACTCAGACGTGCAGGGGAGGAGCGAGGAGGAGGAGGAGGAGCGAGGAGCGAGGAGCGAGGAGGAGGAGGAGGAGGAGGAGGAGGAGGAGGAGGAGGAGGAGCGAGGAGGAGGAGGAGGAGCGAGGAGGAGGAGCAAGGAGGAGGAGCGAGGAGCAAGGAGGAGGAGGAGGAGGAGGAGCGAGGAGCGAGGAGCGAGGAGCGAGGAGCGAGGAGCGAGGAGCGGGCGCAGGGGGAGGCCGTGCGCGGGGGCCGGCCTCGCGGCGGCTTCGGCGGGGGCGCCGAGCCAGTCTGTGGTCCTGCCTCTCCTGCTTCCCCCTGGCGCGGGCGTTCCGATCCCTTCCCCTCCCAGGCCATGCCAGGCCAGCCCATCCCAGTCCAGTCCATGGAGTTCCATTGGAGTCCGATCCATTCGATTCCGTTCCGTCCCACTCCATTCCATTGAGCTCCATTCCCTCGAAGTCCATTCCGTCCCGTTCCGTTCCGCTCCGTTCCTCGCTCGGAATGACGCCCCGCGCCAGCCTGCCGAGCGGCGCCGCAGAAGGGGGACGAGGAGCCCGCGGCCGCGGCCGCGCCGGGGCAGGAGCGCCCCCGCGCCCCGCGCGCCTCGCGCGGGGGTCCGTCGGGAGCGGCCTGGGAACTCGGAGAGGGTCAAGAATCGAGGGTCGAGGAGGCTCGAGGAGGGTCGAGGAGGGTCGAGGGTCGAGGAGGGTCCAGGATCGAGCGCGCACACCACGGTCGCGCGCCGGCGGGTGGGCACAAGGGGTGGGTGTGCGTTCAGTGTTTCGACCTTCTTTTCCGACTTGCGGAAGGCCCTGAGGGTCGAGGCGGGCAGAGGCTCGGGGAGGACGACAAAGGTCAGGCGAGGACAAGGTACCCATACCGCTACCCTTCCCTCAGTTTCCCCTCTTTGGGCCTCCAGGGAGGCCCTCGTCGCCACAGCTGGATTCGCTTCGACATTCTTCTCAGAACGTACCCCGGGAGAGGTCTGGGGAGTAGCGGTATCGGTACGTCTTCGGTTGGGAGATTCAAGAGATCTCGGGCGACGGAACCTATTCAGATCCACTGCTCCCTGGCCGGGTCCGTCCTGGGCCCAAGAGCTGTGCACACGCGCTCCTGGCCAAGCCACGCGATCGTGGCGTATGCACCGCTGCTGGGCTCAGGGTTGACCTGGCCATGGAGCAGCGGATGTGTGCAGATCTCGTCGCCCAAACATCGAGGGCCGAGGGAGAGGCTGCGGACGCTCTCGAGCATGTTCGGGCGGGCCAGGACGAGGACAAATCCGCCCCAGGGAGTGCCGGGACGCTCTCGTGGCATCCGGGAGCGCGGAACGCTCGGAGGAGGCCGCGGCGCTCGAGGCACCTTCAAGAGCCAGCCGATGTTGTCCTCGTCCTGGGTCGGTCTCTGCAACAGATGTGTACATATTGCCCAAGGATCCAGGGCCGAGGGACAAGGGAGGAACAATTGGGTGGGGGGGCATAACGGTACCTCGCGATTTTGAGGTTTTCAACTTTCCCTCTCTCTCTCTCTTTCTCTCTCCCTCGCTCTCTCTCTCCATCTCTCTCTCTCTCTCTCTCTTTCTCTCTCTCCTTCTCTCTATCACTTCCCCTCTGTGGAGGACGCTCAGACTGTTTCTCTTCTGTGCGGGAGGAGGGCAGGGTCTGGCCCTGGGGGACAGGTCCCAGCAAACAATTGAGAAAACACGGCCCCCAGAATCCCTTGGTCCAGTTTTTCCCAACCATCCTGTGGTGCTGGGTCTTCGTTTTGAAGAGGCGGTGCCCCGCGTCTCCTCTCCTTCCTCTGCCCCCTCCTCCCCCTCCCCCTCCGCGTCAGCCACACCCGCTTCGGCACACCCCTCACACGTTTCGTGGCCCCATTCCACCGAGGGCTCGTGGCTGCCCATAAGGAGCTCCACCGAGGGCTCCAGTGGCTGCGTTCGCATGGCGGCACCGCGCCCATTTCGGCACACCCCTCACACGTTTCGTGGCCCCATAGGGAGCTCCACCGAGGGCCCCAGTGGCTGCGTTCGCATGGCGGCACCGCACCCATTTCGGCACACCCCTCACACGTTTCGTGGCCCCATAGGGAGCTCCACCGAGGGCCCCAGCACCGGCACAGCGCTTCGTGGCCCCATAGGAAGGAGGCCCCAGTGGCTGCGTTCGCATGGCGGCACCGCACCCATTTCGGCACATCCCTCACCCGGTTCGTGGCCCCATAGGGAGCTCCACCGAGGGCCCCAGTGGCTGCGATCGCATGGCGGCACCGCGCCCATTTCGGCACACCCCTCACACGTTTCGTGGCCACATTGGGAGCTCCACCGAGGGCCCCAGTGGCTGCGATCGCATGGCGGCACCGCACCCATTTCGGCACACCCCTCACACGTTTCGTGGCCCCATAGGGAGCTCCACCGAGGGCCCCCGTGGCTGCGTTCGCATGGCGGCACCGCACCCATTTCGGCACACCCCTCACACGCTTCGTGGCCCCATAGGGAGCTCCACCGAGGGCTCCAGTGGCTGCGTTCGCATGGCGGCACCGCGCCCATTTCGGCACACCCCTCACCCGGTTCGTGGCCCCATAGGGAGCTCCACCGAGGGCCCCAGTGGCTGCGATCGCATGGCGGCACCGCACCCATTTCGGCACACCCCTCACACGTTTCGTGGCCCCATAGGGAGCTCCACCGAGGGCTCCAATGGCTGCGATCGCATGGCGGCACCGCACCCATTTCGGCACACCCCTCACACGTTTCGTGGCCCCATAGGGAGCTCCACCGAGGGCTCCAGTGGCTGCGTTCGCATGGCGGCACCGCGCCCATTTCGGGACACCCCTCACACGCTTCTTGGCCCCATAGGTCCACCGAGGGCCCCAGTGGCTGCGATCGCATGGCGGCACCGCACCTATTTCGGCACACCCCTCACACGTTTCGTGGCCCCATAGGGAGCTCCACCGAGGGCTCCAGTGGCTGCGTTCGCATGGCGGCACCGCACCCATTTCGGCACACCCCTCACCCGGTTCGTGGTCCCATAGGGAGCTCCACCGGGGGCCCCAGTGGCTGCGTTCGCATGGCGGCACCGCGCCCATTTCGGCACACCTCTCACACGTTTCGTGGCCCCTTAGGGAGTTCCCTCTCATTCGTTCAACCTGCTTTGCGGTAACCGTAACTGCATATGGTTGGGTTCATCGCCGGGATATTTTTTTGTCGGGCGGCCCCGACAAAACAAAAAGAATAACGAGGCCCGTGCAGCAGAGGGGTGCGTTTTTTGTAGCTGGGACCTTTCCCCGAGGCCGAGGGCCCAGCCCCCGGGCGAGCAGGCAGGCTCGTGGGCGTCGGCGGCACCTCGTCCGCCTCCTCTCCAGGGCCCAGCGCGCCTCGTGGGCGTCTGCAGGGCCTCCTCCTCCTCCTGCTCCTCCTCCTCCTGCTCCTCCTCCTCATCCTCCTCCTCCTTCTCCTCCTCCTCCTCCTGCTCCTCCTCTTTCTCCTCCTTCTCCTCCTCCTCCTCCTCCTCCTGCTCCTCCTCCTCCTCCTCCTCCTCCTCCTCCTCCTCCTCCTCCTCCTCCTCCTCCTCTTCCTCCTCTTTCACCCAGCATATCCTCCTCCTCCCCCTCCGAGTGGAGTGCCTGGACCTGGCTGATGAGGAAGGAACCTCTTCTTTCTCCATCATGAGTGGCAGGGAGTGGGAGGAACCTTTTCCATGTCTTTTTGTTTCCTGAAGGAAAATTCGCTTCCCTTTCTTTGAGAGGGAGGAGGAGAAGGAGGAGGCTCATTCCTTTCACTTCCCCTCAGGAAGGAGGAAATTTCTCGCCTTCCCTTCCCTCAGAAAAGGAGAAGGAGGAGGAGAAGGAGGAGGAGGAGAAGGAGGAGGAGCAGGAGGAGGAGGAAGAGGTTTCCTTCCTTCCCTTAGTTACCTTCAGGACGGACAAGGAGGAGCCTCCTCGACCTCCTCCTCTTTCCGTGGGAACATCCTCAGCCTCCTTCCTGAGGGAACGGAAGGGAATGACCCTGTTCCTCCTCCTCTTCCTCCTGCGTCTGATGCAACTGGGCAGGAAGGGGACCTCTTCCTCGTCTTCCCTGGGGGAGAGCGTAGGAGAGGACCTTCCTCCCCCTCATCTTCCTCCTGTGAGAAGGGAAGGAACCTCCTCCTCATCTGTCCTGAAGGGTAGGGCAGGAAGGAACATCCTCCGCCCCTTTTCCCAAGGTGGAAAGGGAAGGGAAGGTACCTCATCCTCCTGTTTCCTGAAGGAGAGGGCAGGGGATTCACGTCCTCGTTCTCCTGGAAGAGAGAAAGGGCAGGGAGCGAACCTCTTCCTTCTCCGTCCTGCAGGTAAGGGAAGGAAGGGGACCTCCTCCTCTTCCCTTTCCCTTCCTGACGGAAGGGAAGGCGAGTCATTACCCCTTCCTCCTTCCTGAGGCGACATACAAGGAATGAGCCTCCTCTTTCTCCTCCTCCCTCTGAATGAAAGGGAAGCGAACGAGCCCCTCTCATCCTCCTCCGTCCTGGGGGACATGGAAGGGGAGGGAACCTCTTTCTCTATCTTCCGGAGGGAAAGGAAGGGGAGGATAATCCTCCTTTCTCTTTTCCCCGTCCTCCTCCTGAGGGACAGTGTAGGGGACGGGCCTCATCGACATCTTCCCTCATGAGGGAAAGGAGGGGGCAGGCCCTGCTTTCCCTCTTTTTCCCACTCCCCCGGAGTGACAAAAGGGGCAGGAAGGGGGCCTCCTCTTCTTTTTCTTCCCTGAGGCAAGCGGGAAGGAAAGACACCTCCTTTCCAACCTCCACCTTTTCATCCTCTTACTGAAGGAAAGGGAAGGGGGGGAACCTCCTCTTCCTCGTATGCGTTGAAGGAAAGGTGAGTGAAGGAACGCCCCCCTCCCTTTTTTTCCGAAGGGGGGGGCGAAGGGACGGGGACCTCCTCCGTCCTGCGGGAAAATGATCCGTATCGCCATCCTCCTCCTCCTCCTCCTCCTCCTCCTCCTCCTCTCCCTCCTCCTCCTCCTCCTCCTCCTCCTCCTCCTCCTGCTCCGCTTGAGTCTCCCCCTCCGCATCCTCCTTCCTGGGGGGATGGGAAGGGAAACTCCTCCTCCTCCGCCTCCTGCTCCTGCTCCTGCTCTTCCTCATCCTTCCTGAGGGAAATGGAAGGATCTTGAGGTGATTGAGGGTCTCCGTCTCTGGGGTCCCTTTTGCGTGTGGGGGTCACGAGTAGATTCCGTTCGTGGCTCGTGCGAGGGAATGCACATTGGTTTGCGTTGCGGGGGTACACAGTGAATCCCCATTGTGGGGGCTAGACACATGTTCGTTTTTGTGGCGGAGTACGAATCAATCCACTTTTGTGTGAGGATGTACAGTAGATTCCCTTTGTGGAGATTGCAAATGGATTTCCTGCGTAGGGGGGTACACATTGACTCCCTTTGTGGCGGAATTGCGAATCGATTCTTTTCGTGGGGATTTACACACATATTCCTTGTGTGTGAGGAGATACAAACTGATTCCTTGTGTGGGGGAGGAGGGGAGGGTCTGGCCCTGGTGGAAAGGTCCCAGCAACAAAACAGCAAGACGGCTTCCCTGAATCCATTGGTCCAAAGTGATTCC